CCTCCCAGCGCATGTACTTGTGCCTGTGTCTGGAGCTTTGTATGGAATCAAGGTCATTGGCGATGACCTCAGTTAGCATGAGGTTGGGCTGGAGCAGGGTGGATTTTAGCCTAATAGGATTCAAGAGATGATGGGGACAAGGAGAAAGAGGAAGTCTGGTCATGTAATAGGAATGCCAGAGAATGCTGGAGCCTCGAGAATCTGGGAGAGAGACATGGAACAGTTTGGCTCTTATGAGTCTCAGAATGTCCCCACTGCCCATGATGTTATTATTGCTGCTCCTAGACGCTAGGACTGTGCAACAATACATTTTTGACTTGTTAGGTGCTCAGCTTGATATTTTGTTACAGCAGCCTTAGGAAACTAATGTAGCCATTTTAAAAAGAGTGAGCAGTTCTGCCAAGAAGTTCAGAAGACTACAACCTGGCCAAACAGCTGAAAGAGAGCCATATGGGTGCCCATCCCAGAGGTTATTATCACATGCAAATAAAGTCTCGCTGGAGAGAATTGAAAAATGATTGCAGCAGTATATCAATAGGGAACTGCCAGAAATTCACACAAGATTCAGAAAAGGATGTGGGACAAGGATTGCCATTGCCGACAATCAGGTGGATCTTGGCTGAAAACAGAGAATACCAGAGAGATGTTTACCTGTGTTTTATTGACTCTGCATTCAACTCTTTGGACCATAACAAATTAGGAACAGCACTACAAGAATGGGAATTCCAGAACACTTAATTCTACTCAAATATAACCTGTAAACAGATGAAAAAGCAGCTACTTGAAGAGAACATGATAAGTTTACTTCATGCTTTAAAATAAAGAAAGTTTACGTGAGGGTTATATTCTTTCACTGCTTTGTTTCAATCTATATGCTGAGCAAATAATTTGAGAAGCTGGATTCTATGAAGACAGTAGTATCAGGATCAGAGGCACAACCTACAATCTACAAACGGCACCAGTCTTGCTCACTAAGTGGCGAGGACTTGAAGCACTTACAGTAGATCAAAGACTACAGCCTTCAGTGTAGAGTACACATCAACATAAGAAAGCAAAACTTCACACAACTAGGCCAATAAGTAACACCAAGAGAAATGGAGAAAAGATTGAGGTTGTCAAAAGTTTTTCTTCACTTGTGTTCACAATCAATTTGTGCTGGGCATATCTGCTTTGCATTAGACATCCTCAAGTATTGAAAAGCAAAGATGTCATTCTGAAGACTAAGGTGTGTACTGACCTTAGCCATGGAATTTTCAATTGCTTCATATGCACAAGACAAATGAACAGTGAATAAGGAAGAATAAAGAAGAGTTGAGGGGTTTTGTGTTGGGGAAAAATATTGACTATATCATGAACTGTCAGGAGAACAAACAAATTGGCCTTGGAAAAAGTGCAGCTGTGGTGCTCATCAGAGGCAGGAAGGATGACATTTGGCCTCATGTACTTCGGGGGTATTATCAGGAGGTATTATCCTTTTCAGCCCAGTCCCTGAAAAAATGACATTATGTTTAATAATTAGAGGCTCAGTGGAGAAGAGCAAGACCCTCCATCAGATGGAGCAGCACAGACGGTGGGGACCAGGGGCTGTTTTATTTTGTTTTATGTGGTGTTGCTATGAGTCAGAAATGACCTGGCCTGGATGGCTCTGGTGATGTAAATGGTTGCATGATTGTCTACTAGCTGAAAGGTCTGTGGCTTGAACCTATTCAGGGCTGCCTCAGGAGACAGACCTGGTCATCTGCTTCTAAAGGGTCAGGGCCTTGGAAGCCTGGAGGAGCAGATTACCTGCACACCCGGGGGAAGCTGTGAGTCCATGCTGACTCAGGAGACAGGGTCCAGGGTGACTAACAGCAGGAACAGTTGTTGGCCTTAATTACCTAAATGCACAGGTATTCCTGTGCACGTGCATTTACTCACACTCGCTCTGGTTCATCCGTGGTCTCTGGAAGCTGTCAGCCAGCCTCCCGCCATCTGCCCTCCCTCAGTGGAAACTGCAGGTTCCAGGAGGAGTCCTTGCTTTCCCCCCTCCCCTACCCCCTTCCCTCTATTCCTCTCAGGCGCTGCTCTCCCCGGCTCTCCAGAGTCCACTGGAGACACACAGTATCAGTTCCTTGTCCTCTTCTTATCGCCTCCCCACCCCGGGTGTCCCTGGAGAGGGTCTGCTCAGTCACTGGTCTGAAGAGATATCTGACTCAGACAGTAGTCAGGCCCAGAGACTGCTGGGCCCAGGAAGTCAGAACTTTCCCATCAGTAGGCTAACAGTGGTACCATCCCGGTGTCTCCTGCTTCCTTCTATGCCAGACAGTAGCACCAGGAACCCTGATTGCTGCTGAGTATGGACCACATGCCAGACCCCATGCTTGGGGACCACGAAACCACCCATTTGCCCATTTGACAGAACACCAAGGCTCATGGAAGGGTCATCACCCCATCAGAAAGTGCTAATCTTAGGCTGAGCCTTGGTCTCCAGCACCTAGGTCACTCAGAGCACTCCCAAGTTGCATGCCTTCTCCAAGAGCCGTTCATCTGAATCATCTCTGAGACAATCCTAGGACTCCACTCCCTTCTTCAGGCCCTTCTTCATCTGCTGTGAGCTTCTGAGCTTCAGAAAGATCCTAGAGTCTCCAGAGACCACCCACCCACTCCTGCAGAGGCCAAACCACTAGGGAGCCCTGGAAAGCTGTGCCCCGCCAAGGCTGCAGGCCAGCAGCAGCCCATCTCTGGCCCAAATCAGGAGCCTGATATTTTTTGGATGTCGAATTCCAGAAGGCAGGGGCGAGGCAGGAAGGAAGACAACCTGCCCTCTTCTGCTTACCATCTCACTAATGGCACCAATCAGGGGCATCTGGATGTGCCTGAAAGATTGTAGAGCTGACCAGGTTCAAGATCATGTGCCGGGTGTTTGCACAGTGGTGACTCAGCCTGGTTGGTGCCGCTGTGACTTCAGGACAGAGAGAAGGTGAAGAGTCCCTGGGCTTCCAGTAAGCCTGGGTCTTCAGGAGGCCAGGGGAGATGCAGGGGGACCTTGGGTTTGGTCTTTGAGGTCTGAGATCTTGGGGGAGCAGGCCACAGCTACTGAAGACGTGACATTTCTGAAGCAGGAGGAAGACAAGCAGGCTGTTTGTTAGTAGCTCTGTGGGGTTGGTCTCTAACACTCTGCACAAAGCCCAACCCCATTGTATTGCCACCCCTTTGCAAGTCACCTCCCCTTTCCAGGCCTCAACTCTCTTATCTGTAAAAGGGGCTTGTTGACCAACCTGACTTCAGAGGGTTGCTGTGCTCACATGGAAGCCAAAATGTCATGCTCAACTGATGTGATATCTCTCCTTCACCCCCACACTCCGGCCCAGCATCTTTGCACTTTGCTGGCCTTGACAGGCCATTGTCCCTCTGCCTCCTGGCCCTTGCACCTCACTGCCTAGGACCCTCTTCCACTCCTTCCTGCTTTACTCTATCCCAGCTAACTTCTCCCTTTCCTAAGACCCCTCCCCTGGTTTCCCAACGTTCAGTTTATGTGTCTTTTCTCTGCGTTTCCACCATGTGTACACATCCCTCACTGTAGCAATCAGCAGGCAAGACTGTCATCTGGTCACATGTTTCCTTCCCTGAAGACAAGGGTCAAGCCAGCCTGTGAGGGGCTACAGGGGGGCTTGAGCCTTGGGAAGAAAGCGATCTCTTTGGAGAAATTTATTAGCATCACAGGGGAAGGGGGACATCATGGCCCAGGTCCTGGGCTGAGTGACCACTGGGGTCTGGAACATGAGACAGTGAACCTCAGGGAGGAAGGACCAGCCTGGTGAGTCCAGGGGCATGGCTACCTGTGCCCACTGCCTCCTGACCCCTGATGGCACCACAGCCCTTCCTGGGGCAGAAGGAATCAGGGATTTCCTCCCCTCTGTTAACATAGACTCATTGGTTTGGTAACACTGCTTTGGTTAAACAGTTTCCTTTGATAGGAAAAATAAAACCACCTCAGGAGAGGGTCTGTTTGCATATTATCTGTATTGTCACATGAAGTGCACATCCATAAACAACTGACTTGAAATAACCTATTAGGTCACATGAAGTTCAGCCCCTGGGGGCCAAAGTGGCACCTACGCCCGTGGTCCATGGCCAGTGCTTCATGTCATCCAGCTTCCCACAGGCTGTGATGGGGCCACCTGGTCTCCCCAGGCTCTGGGCTCTGGGAAAGGCCAGATCAAGCCCAAGTCCCTGGGCTCCTGGGGCAGCATCTTCCAAAATGGACTTGCAGAAACCCTCGTTCCTTGGGGTTGAAAGTAGTTTCATGGGAAAAGGGTTCCAAGGTCAAATACATTTAGAAAATATGGTGTTTCAATGAGGTTCAGCAGAAAAGCTTGTCCACGAGATGGATCTGAGCCTTTCTGGCAATAACAGGCCTGTGAATATCCAACATAGAGGCAGAATATGCAGCATTTCTCAAATGCCTTTGACAACGAAACTTTTTTCCTCCCCAAAGCATCTTGCTGGTGTCTCCTGGTATAGCCTTTAGAAAGTGCAGCCCTAAGCTATTGATGATCACAGATGAAAACGGGCACTTGCATTTGGTGGTGGGTAGAGGGTATTCTGCCAGGCATTATGTTGGTGGCATCATGGGCTCAGCCAAGAACTCAACAGTTATAACAACAAAAGGACAAGACTCAGCTCCTCTCCCGTCCATCTTGGTTCACTCCAGTCACCCCCAGAGCAGACGCCCAGCAGGGCTGTCTCCAAGGCTGGACCCCAGCCAGCCTGGAGAGGGGACACGGATTCCAAGCTCAGGGAAGGTGGCACCTGGCAGGACATACGCCAATCACCAGGGCTGATGGTTTGGGGGTCTCCAGCCTCCAATCAGGAAGGGAAAGATGAACTGGGGCTGGGGGGTGTGTGGCTGGCTCCCACTCTGGGGCTGTAGGCCCACCACCCCCTGGTGACTTATGCGTCCTATCTCCAGGCACCCTCACCCCTCACCTCCTTGGGAGGTCACGCTGAGGCTGAGAGGCTCACCAGGCCGAGATGAGCATCTGGCAGGTGTTGGAGGACATCCAGACCAGCTCCACCAGCCGGAACTGGAAGTAGCCGATGATGAAGCCCGAGATGACGTCCGTAATGTGGTGGCGTCCTATCATGACGCGCGACAGGCCCACGCAGAAGGCCCAGAGCACCAGGAGGACGCGAAGGGGCACTGCCAGCACCAGGTGGCTGAGGAAGAACTTGGACACCATGGCGGCGCGGCTGGCGTGCCCAGCTGGGAAGGCGTAGATGTCCATGGTGAGGTAGTCCAGCAGGCTGGGGCTCATCTCATACGGACCACGTCGCTTGATGAGCTTCTGCACACCGGCCACCGTCATGATGTCCAGGAGCAAGGCTGTGGGTGGGAGACGGGCACACAGGTCACCAGGGCCACTGACCTCCCAGGGCCCCCAGATCCAGCTGTCCAGGGCCTGGCCCCTCTGACCTCAACTCTCCCTGCTCCTCACCCCAGCTCTACTGCAGCTTGCCGACCTCAGAACACACCCCACCTCTGGGCCTTCACCCCTGCTGTGACCTCTCATGAGATTGTTACACGCCCACCCCTTGTTTCTTTGAGAGAAATCTTCTCCCACCACCCTGTTTATTAAAGCCCCATGTTCCCTCTTTCCCTCACCCAGATTTACTTTTTTTTTTAACTTGTTGTGTGCCATTTAATTGGATCTGACTGGCACAGGAGGAGATTTCCCTCCTCCAGCGGAGCATCTGGTGGATTCAAACTGCATGCCTTCAGGATTGCAGCACAGCTTCGTGCCACTAGGCCACCAGAGTTAAATAACATTTTTGTTTTATACTGGTTAACTTATAAAGTTTGTATACATTGTTTTTCACACCAGATCTTTCCCGCTTCCTTTACACACCCCTCCCTCCATCCATCGAATTGTGTGACCCTGTGATTACCTCCCTGCCTCACTCCTCTGCTCCTTCCCTCCCCGCCTTGGATCCTCATACATGTTTTACTAGTTATCATCCTATTTCTACAATAATGGTCTTATACAGTATTTGTCCTTATAGAGCTGAGTTAGTTCACGTAGCATAATGTTCTCCAGTCCCTCCCAAGTTAGGTAGTGATTTATAAAATCATTGCTCCTGCATGCTGTGTAGTATTCCATTGTGCCACTGTACTACAATTTCTCAATCCATTCATTTGTGGTTGGAAATCTGGGCTGCTTCCATGTTCTTGTGATGGTGAATAACACTGCTATGAACATTAGTGTACAAATCTCTGTTTGCGCCTCAGTTCTCATTTTCTCAGGGTATATTCCAAACAGTGGAACAGCTGGGTTGTATGGAATTTCTATTTTCAGCTTTTTGAGGAAATGCCAAACTCTGGCTTTACTTTTCCTTACAATGTTCCTCACCATCAAGAAAATATCCATTTTCTTGTTGATGTATCTCTTTTCTCTCCTCGCCCCCTCCCCCAGCCATGTTCTCCAAGAGGATGAAGCCTTCTTTTGCCTGTTTTTGGAGGCATGAGAGAGTCCCTCATGAGGGAGCTCTGCTGGTCTAGTGGCAGAAAGCTGCAATGTGATCCTAGAGATGCACGGTTCAAATCCACCAGATGCTCTGATGGAGAAGGAGGGACAATCTCCTCCTGTACCAGTCAGATCCAATTTGATGGCACACACACACAAATAAGAAAATAATTTAAAAAACACAAAGAATTTTTTAAAAAAGAGTCCCTCACTATCTGTCACCAGCCACGAATGGTCCATCTCTTGGCTTCTAACCCAAAACTTGACCTCAAGACTGCTCAGAAGAAAGGCCTGGTGATCTGTCTCAAATAGACCAGTTCTCCTCTGACACGTGTGGTCACCATGAAGCCAAAATTGTGGCAGTTGGTTGCTTTTTTGTTGTCAGAGATGTGGATGAGAGAGTGGGTGGTCTGGGATGTGTTGTGGGCTCCTGTGTCACCTGTGAGGACCTGGGTCCTGAGAAGGGAGCCAGCACTGGGGGACATTCTCAAATGACCTCACAGAAAGGTCCCAACATCTTCGAGTGAAGGACTATTAGCATCATCCCCATTTTACAGAGAACAAGACAAAGCTCCAGGAGCATTCCTGTCGCATCTGATGATCCTTCTTTTTGGGATGTTCCTCCCTTGCCTTCCCCACAGACTACCCAAGCCCCCTCCCCCCATTCTTCAGGCCTCAGCGTACGTGCCACCTCTTCAGGGAAGCCTTCCCTGATGTCCATACCAGGTCAGCTTTGGTTTGTACTCTCTCAACACCCAGGGTTTCCTTGATTGTCCCTGTGCAGCTGTTGGAAATCTGTTGGGATGTGAGATGACAGTGCTTATGTCTCCTCCTCCTGTACCATCACTTACGGAGACAAGGGCCAGGTACTGTATGGCAAGTATCAAATGTTAGCCAGGTTGCTGGCCCGAGGCTCATGGTGAGGGGCTGGAGCAGGGACTCCAGCTCGGGGAAAGAGCACCCTTTCTTCATTTAAGAGCACCTGAGAGACCAGGTCTCCATCCCACCTCTGCCATGGCTCCCTGGGTGGCTCTGGGGGGCTGCCTTGCCTCTCTGGGTCCTGGTGTCATACAGCTAATCATGGTGGCTCCCAGCCAGCCAATGCAGGAAGCTCAAGGCAAAGCCTCTTATTGGGGGTGTCTCAGTAGGACTATGTGGCAACCCTGAGATAGGTGTACTGTCAACAGAGAGCCTGCCCCCATGTGCTATCCCAGTCCTAGGAACAACTGGTCCCAGATGATCATACCGTACCCCAGTGAGGTCACACACTCTAAGTCCTCCTTCTTCAGGTGACAGCAAAGATGGGACTGGCAGTGCAGAGCCATGATGAAGCATTGTGTTCCCTCCTCAGGGATTCGAGCTGAGTCCCAGCCTGGGAACCTTGGGCTGTATGACCTTGGACAAGTCCTTTAATTTTCCTCACTGTTGAGTTTGAGATAGTGAATACCTCCCTTCTGGACTGCAGGGAGGCCAGGTAAGATTTGCATGAGGGTGACTAGCATCGTGCCTATAAAATGACCAACCTGTCCCAGATTTGCTCAGTACAGAAAGGGTCCCAGGATGCAAGACATTCAGTGTTAAAGTCATGACATCACAGGAACACCAGGGTGAGATGTCCCAAGTGCCTGGCATGTGAGAAGGGCTCAGACTAAACGACAGCAAAACGCAGCTCTGCGAGTGCTCCCAGAAATCTCTGCAGTGTTTATCCACATTATTGACTCATGAAGGCTCTTTCTTGCTTAGAAATTGGTGGGGGATCCTTTAAAAAACACCTGACATTTACTGTAGAAAATATACAAAATAGAAAGCAAAAGGAGTGGTTTAAATAGCCTCTAATCCTACTGGAGGTGGCTATTGTTCCAGAACCTTCTATTTATCTATAGGGCATGGATGAAAAGTTGCAACATGCTGTATGTACTGTGCTGTCACTTGCTTTGAAAAAGCTTGCCACATACAGCACAAGGCCAGAGGCTTAGTGAGGGGTGCAGAGGGGGGCAAGTGCCCCTAGGTGCAAGTATAGGGGTGCACTAGACAAGACTTGGAATGACATTCTGAGGTGCCACAAGCATGAAAGGGGGCCTGAATGACAGGTCAGACAAGGTTCCAGACAAGATGGGAAAAGGCATTTCTGCTGACATCTTGCTGCCATCAATGTTTATTCACCCTGAAATTGGGGTAGAGGCACAATTTAGAAATTGCCCCTGGATGCTTGAATGGGGTAGTGCAATTTAGAGATTGACTCTGGGCACTTGGTACCCTATCCGTGGCACTGTGTATATGTAATGGTCCTGGGGCTGAGCATTCAGACTGCTTCCAGTTAGTGCTGTGAGAACCTCTCTTTGCCCACTGTAGGGGCTGTTGCTTCAAGTCTAGGCTCTTGGTTTGGGATTTGAACACCTGACAACCCCTGTGGTTCCTGCTCATCTCATTAGCCACCACAGTGGCTGATGTCTGCCTTGCCCTAGGACACCAGGCTCCCAAGGTCTGAGTGAGGGAGAACCTCCTGTTACACGCCCTGCGTTTCCATGGCAACTGGCTCCCTGGAGTCCAGCCTCAGCACTGGGGAACTAGCTGACAACTGGAGGTGAGTGGCCAGCCAGCCCGAATCAAATGCTGCTGACTCAGGCAGAAGCCAGGCTTGGGCTGGGAGCCATCTGGGGCCTTCAGAGGTCACTGTTTCCGCAGGAGACCAGGCACCGCCAGATCCCCAGGGCAGGTGGGAGGGAGGACGTGGCCACACCCGACACCCTTGGGACTCTTCAGCTTACTGGAGAAGCTGAGGCAGGAGGCCAGATAGAAGGAGTCAGCCAAACCTCCCCAGAGCAGGGAGGCCCATCTGTCGTCTGTAAACCCCAAAGAAGTGACCCGTGATGCCAGGCTTCCTCCACCAGGGGAAAGGCAAGCTCTCGGATGCTTACGGAAAGGTTCAAATCAAACCAGCAGTCCTGTAGGAGAAATACCTGGGGGTGTGCTCCCATGAAGATTAACCAATGCTGCTCAACTGATTCCTCCTCATAACGACTGTACAGGACCCGGCTGAACTGCCCCACAGGGTTCCCAAGGCTGTAAATCTTTACAGAAGCTGACAGTGTCATCTTTCTCCCATGAAGCCAGTGGTGAATTCAAACTCCTGAACTTTCGGTTAGCCATCCAACAAGCCATGCACTACACCACAGAACTGCCTCCTTCCTATGTTGATCACAGCTCAGAAAATCCTATAGAGAAGTTCTCCTTTGTCACTTGGGTTGCTAGGAATATAAATAGACTCGAGAGCACCTGGTAACAAGAGCACATAGATGATGAGGGTAAAGTCAAAGGCTCCAGGTCGTAGTAGGCTTTGAAGAGTCCCAGCTCCTTGACTTAAGACCAAGGGCCTCATAGGAACTAAGAAGTACACTGATAAGTGATGTTTTTGATAAAAGTTAGGCCATACAATTCAATAACAAGAGCAAGAACCACAAAAATTATGGGTGTGGTTAGATAAGTAGATGTACTTGCATACGTGTGTTTAAGAAGGTAGACATGTGCATCCATATGGGTGTTCACATAAACACGTTGAGCTTCGGTAGCCTGTCTGCAGGAGGATCGGCAACTAACTGCCTCTGAAAACCTGCTGGAGGGTCAATGGTGGGTCGGTTCTGACTCGATGGCAAGCAACAACAAAAGTGTAGAGAGCTCCAGTGGCATCGACTGTAGGGAGCTACACTATTAACCCAAAAGTAGTGGCTCTCTGGTGGTTCAAACCCACCAGTGGCTCCTGTGTGATTTACAGCCTCTTGAAAACCCGATGGTCAGTTATGAGTTACTTCTGACTTAATGGCAATGAGGGTTTTTTCAGTTCCTATAGGCATACCTGTAGGCA